AAGTTTGATGAGAAGCTGAAGTACGATGTGACGTCAAAAAAATCGTTGAGCCGTTTTGGCGGAAGTGACGAACTGCAAGCTTTGAATGCTTATATCTTCTAAATGCGAATTTTGTCACTGTTTTGGAGCACACTGCCTTATAGATAACCTTAAGACTAACATATTGATACTAACACCCAAAAAACTTTAATTTTGATTTCATGGGGACTTTAAGTGTCTGAAAATGTTACATTAATTTTGCACTTAAAGTATATTTCCATAATAATTACACTTTTTAAAAGTATCAAAACCCAACACACTGCCTTTTTTAAAACAATTACTGCATATGTAGTGTGTCAAACTTCTAGATCTAGTCCTTGACATGTAAACTAATGTTGGTCTTTGGTGTATATTGCAAAACTGGGATGCTGTTTTGACCTATCAGGACCGGATCTATCTGTTTCAAAATAACCACAATCATGCATATCGTCCTGTATATCTTTTGACAGCTGGATGTAGGCCCTTGCCTCTTCAATCTGAGAATCAATGGCAGTGAAGGAAGTGCAGAGGTGTGCTGGCAGTGATGCCTGTTTGTGACTGCGAGTGAGGGAATGTGTTTTTCTTTTAATTATATTGTGGGAGCTGTTGAGCTCTGTCTGACAGAAGCCCTGATAGCTGTTTCTCACTAAGCCCGATAACAAGGCCCTGTTGGGCCGGGACTAAAGCCACGGCACTGATGAACAAAAGACAGGAGCTTTAGTCAGGGGGCCGCAAACTGCTGACTCTCAGCACCAGCTAATGCAGCATTCTGTCCGGTCTCCCTGTTGTCAGCCTCTGTCCACATCCTTCTCTTTTTTTTTCTCCACCGCATTCTCGTTCACTTTTGACACCAACATGCCCCCCAACAAAGAAACCCGAAATCACACTCTCTGTGTCTACCTCCGACCCCCTCCTGTATCGGTTTGCCCTCACTTCACGGCTCAGTGACCGTCTCCGCTTCGTGCTCACTGGAAGCGATCTGCTCACAGCACGCCTTCCCGAGGTCTGACCCGTATCAGTGGTGCGTGGGATGCGTGTTCGGTGTGCGTGAGCGTGTATCTTGTCTTCTGCCATGTGTGAGTGTCTGCGAGGGATCTTCCGTGTCACCTGGACACCCTCTTCAGACGCAGGTGGGTTTGCTGACATAACACCCCTCGTGAAAAAGAAGTGTACTTAACTGTACTGAATGTGCACTTGTAGTGTGTTTCGAATCTTACAAGTGTATTTTATAAACTTGCAGATTTGTAGACATTATAATATTAATGAAATAAAAGGCAACTTAAAGTATGTACTTAAAGTATGTTTCTCAACACACTTAAGTACACAAAGTCCAACAGTAGAGAGTGCGTCTCGGGGTTCTGGTGCTGTAAGTTCAAGGTGCTCTCTGGTCTAGTTTATCAAAGAATACTTCAGAATGACCATGGCACTCTTGTGAATTAAAATGCCTTTATTATCCAGAAATCTAAAAACTCACTTAAGTACACTTTTAAATAGTGCACTTTGTAATAATGTCAAATTAAAAGCTTTACTTTAAATTATATTTTAAATCACTATATTTTAATAACGTTTTTGTTGTGCTTTAAAGAAGTACGCTTATTTTGAGGTTGACTAACATACTAAAGCAAGTACTTGATTATTTGGTGATACTACATTTTTTATGGTAAGTGGTTGCAAACAATTTATTTTAGCTACATTTAAAAAAATGTTGAAAGTTAGTCAACTAAATTTGTTTATTTAAATGTAGCTAAAATAAATTGCTTGCAACTACTTACCTTAAAAAATGTAGTAAATTCAATTAATCTTTTTTTTTTCAGTGTAGTTTGTTATTTGATATTACATTAAAAGTTAATATTTTAAATGTACTAGTGTAAGCCACCTGATCATTACAAATGACATATATTTTTAAATACATGACATACAAGTTTCAATGGCATTCAATGACATTAAAGTATATTTTACTATACATTTATATTTCACTAAAGTATATTTTTAGTTTACTATTATTAACACTTGTCAGTACATTTGGAAGTACACTTTAACCATATTTCAAAGACAATAGAAGTAATTATGAAATTACATATAAAGTTGTATTTAAGTCACACTTAAAAAAAAGAGTCAAAAAGCACTTAAAAAACAGCATTTAATATAATTTTAAACTATAATACACTTTAATTGTAAATAACATTCAATTAAGTGTCAAAAAGATTGCATTCAATTCACAATTAAGCATTATTGTTTTTAAAGTATATTATTTCTGTAATAATTACTGTTTTTAAAAGTAAGCTAAAATCACAAGGGACTGCATGTCATGTATTCGCCATGATAACAACAGTCCATTCAGTTGCTATATAAAGGATCAGAAGTTCAGTGTTATTTTGTTGCTGTTTAACCTGTCTTACATTATGCTCTTGTAAATGAAGATGAGATTTAGAGTAGACACTTACAGGTGTCATTAGTTTATAATGGGCTCATTATCAGCACAACAATGTCTAACTGGTTAGCGAACTGCAGTTAGAAGTGTGTGGCTAGTGCATTGTCCTCAATTTTATTTTCAAACTTAGTGGTTACGTTTCTTATAAGCTCATTTTAGGGGATCCAGTGATATATATACTGTTGGATCCAGATCAGAAGTTGCTTTGGTGGCATTCTCAAACCAGTTCCTCTTTTAACATGTTTTCATTTAACATGCAAACAAGTGTCTGGGAATATTACATTCAGGTCACACTTAAGCACATTATCTGCATAATACGTATAAAAGTGCGCTAAAGTGCATTTCCTTTACAAGGGTGGTCAAGCTCCGACACCTTAACGTTACTAATTATAACTTGGTTATTTACACAATGACAAGAAAATCAACAGAAAATGCAGAGCTAAAGATATCAATCGCTCAGCGCGGGGATTGGAAGTTAGCTAATTAGTTAAGCTAAAGTTAACCTCATTTTGATGTTTTGCGATCATCACTACTAATTTCTGTTATATCAAATGTTTTTGTAAATGACATAAACCAATTAATATCACAAAATATCAGCATTTTACAAGCTAAGACTTACTGATGTTTGTGTTGTTGTTTTCCTGCTGAAAATGATGTCACTTCCTGGTGGATGATGTCATTAAGGATCTGGCTTTTTTTAGTCCAGGTGATACTCAAAATGATGAAAAGATGAAAAGTGAAACGGAGGATACAGTTAATAATTCATACTAATCTATTATTTATCAATTGCCGTTTTTTTGTGTTAGAGGAGCACAACAAAAATGGCAACATCTGCTCAAAACAGAGCTTTGAAATGATTCCGTTAAATTTAAATGACTTCAATTCATGTAATTCATTTGCCCTCCAGCTTGTCAGTTACAAATCATTTTTAAAGCAAAGCGAAGTTTAAAAAGGAAGTATTTGAGATGGCAGATTTTTTCTTTCAAATGTTTATAATGGCTTATCTGAGAAAGAAAGGAAGAATGTCAGATCTATACTTGCTTTTCTTGAACAAGATTTCAGTGATGAATCAATGTCGAAAGATATTGTAAAAAAAAATTGATAAAAAACACATTTTGTATCCCTCTTTTGCTTTGTCATGTGATTGCCTGTCTGTTAGTCCATCAGCGTCACATGACATAAACCCAGCTGTCTGCTCTAGATTCTTGGCTGTCTGTTCTGCTGATAGCTGCATTTGCTAATAAACTGGACACCTCACCTTGTGCCAGGGAAGCCGCCCCAGCTCGTTCGAATGCCTATCCATCCCATTATGCTGCTTATCCTACTTTTATGTATTGAAACAATGCAGGCATTACAACAATGTGAACACCCCGCCTTCCGGGTGCCCGGCTACAGGTTTTAAGTGCTATTTTGACCCTGTGGATCCACCTGCATGTCACGCTGTGGGGATAATGAATTTTGGCAGTGTCTTGTGACCACCCCGGCTCGGTTTAAACACGGGCGAGTTGCCCAAAAACAAGCAGACACACCTTACTGCTGGATAGAAAGCTACTTGTGCAAGCGTGTTAAGCCTGAGACAACAGCTGCCAGACCTCAAGAAAGAGAAACTGTAAAAACATAGGCCTACCATTCCATCTTGTTTTTGGCTTTAGAGGTCCAAAAAATACCCCATCATAACTTCTTTTTACTTTTCCCGATGTTTGGATTTTGCTTGCTTGAGTAGAGTTTTGTTTGTTACTGTTTCACTGTAAATCTATCTGCATTGAGTCCAAGGGGGAAGGGCGTATTTATGAGTCATAGTTACACCATTAGTTGCGTCCGGGTCACTTTGGTCGGAGCATGATGGTGATTGGCGATGTACCTTTTCTACAAAAAATTCAACAAGATTTTTTTTTTAAAATTCTGCTTCTACAAATGATACTTCTGCTGATGAATAAAGAATGCGCATCAGGTGTGGTTTTGCTTTTTTATGTTTTTATTTCTTTTATGAAGGTGTTGAGTGACAGGGTTGCTGGAGAGTTTTATGGAGGTAATTGTAAGACTTTTAAAAGAACTTTTAAAGGCCAATTAAAGATTCGCAATTAAAGCGAAAACAATTCAGCAATATGAAAATGTTTGAAAACACAACAGCACTGTCCAGTGCTATTTTAGTATCATTGAGATAGCCTATTGAGATACAGTGGGTACGGAAAGTATTCAGACCCCCTTAAATTTTTCACTCTTTGTTATATTGCAGCCATTTGCTAAAATCATTGAAGTTAATTTTTTTTTCCTCATTAATGTACACACAGCACCCCATATTGACAGAAAAACACAGAATTGTTGTAAGGGGGTCTGAATACTTTCCGTACCCACTGTATATATTTATATATAGCCTATATATCATTTTATATATTTATAATTATGTTTATATATTATATTTAGGTTATATTATATAGCCTAATTAGGTTTTATTTTATTTATTTTTTTTAATTTTAATTAAAGTTTTAGTAATTTTATTGTGTTTTTTGTCATTTTATTTTAGTTTTAGTCATTTTAGTGCATCAAGTTAAACTAATTGTAAATGAGAAATGTTGCTTTGGCAACTAGCTGAAATATATATATTTTTATTATTATTTTTATTTCAGTTCAAATTCATTTTACATGAAACTTTATTTAAAACAAACTTTTACCTTTATTAATTAATTTGTGGAAGGGTGAGTTACCTATAAGACTTAATACCTAAATCTATTCATTATATATTCGTAATTGTACAATATTGTTTTGTGCATAGAACCTTGCTAGTTTTATTGTAAATGAAATAAATATACGTAATTTCATTATTTTCAATAAATTTATCGTCAGTCAGTAAACGCTGCGTCTATGGCGTCTGAAGTTTTCTCACTGACACGCCCACAACTCGGAAATCAGTCTTTAAAAGTTCACTTTCCCGCTCGAAATTAAGATCTTTTTGGTGACGTTAATGTCCGTTCAGCCTGTAAAATATGATCTTTCCGACGTGACTTGAACTTACCATCAGGCCAGAGTCATATTCTTGTGTGTTATGATAGTAAACTGTCCGTGTCCGTATAAGACTGGCTCTGACTCCTGCTCTCCCACCCTCTGTATTTGGGGCATCCCACTGGCTTCATCCAATTGGATTGCTGACCGCCTCCCCTAACAGAGACCATAATAATACTGCAAATGTCCCGCTCCGTAGGCATCAGTCAGAGAATAAGCAGGCAGAGAGTTGGGGGGAGAAAGAGAGAGTTTGTTACTGAGGGAATAATTGATTCTGCACAAGGAAACACTCAATAAAGGTAGGTAATATAGATGAGTTGTGTTGGGTTACGTTGTGTGACATTGCTGAGTGTGGCTCAATAACAACATGACAAGACTCTCAGACTGACGTGGAAACTTTAATACAGATGTGTAGGATGAACTTGGTAAATGGAGGATTTGCACAAACCTGGTGAAGATTGTTACTTCTATTTATATTTTGGTGCTTTCATTATTTTTGTGATAAGAGACCAACTGCTTTAAATGTATTTAATGTAATTTGTTCTAAGGGTTTTATAAGCCCATAATAGGAGAAACTGCTGAACAGATGTAGCTCACCTGAGCATCTTAATGTTTTTCCTTGTACTGTCGGTCATACTTGCTGAAAGCACTGAAATGTTGAGTGGCACTGAAGAGGTGTGTGTATGTGTGTGTGTGTGT